TGAGCCACTGTGATCTCACGTGTTAGGCCCCATTCCTCCTCCCAATGTTCTGGACTCGTTACTAGCATTCTACACTCACAGTCCAATAGAGGGGCAAGGCTATGACACCATTTTAAACTCAAAAGTAATGAAATCATTCTCTGCTGCTGGGGTATATGCTTTATAAATAAACTTTCAAAGTATACTCTTGAAATCAAATTGTTAAAATAAAATTGAGTCTTAAAATTATAGGTTTTGATTATCAAAATCCAAATTCCCAAAGTACATTCTGGAGAGAAAGTTTTGCTTCAGAGAATAGGCATAAAAAGATCTTTGACCATCTGGGCAGTACTCCTCCACTTGCAGGACAAGGTAAGATCCTGTAAGCTAGAGGGAAGGAGGGAGTCAGGGAGAGAGTTAGAGTGTTGAATCTGGACAGAGACTCCTGAGAGGGGCCTGGGACTTGCCCCTCCAGCCCAGAGTGGGTGGAACTGGGAGGGAAATGACAGAGCAAAGAAAAGCACAACAATGGGTTATGAGCTACAATCCTGCCATCTCTGAGTAAAGAGTCAAGGTAAATGGATTTGGGGGGTATCTTGGAAAAGGGGTCTGAAGTAGACAGGGGGTCCCCACCCAACTGAAGTCAGGAGGGTCATCCAAGTACTCCTGGAAAGACTCGAGTCATCTGGAAGAAGATCAGAGGACCCAGTGTGACATGAGTAGAAGAAGAAAGATCTCTCAGCAGTGAATCTAGAAGGCCAATGTCTTCCTAGGACTGGAAGAGCCTCTTGATGCCTACATCTTGGCAAACCCTTCCAAGAATGTCGGTGACCTCCCCCCAAAGAAAAAGGAGTGCAGGAGCACTGAGCTAGCAGTGAAGCCAAGAACTGGCCAAGTTTATCATAAACTATGATCAAATCATGAAATGACTGAGGATGATCTTGAAATGACTAGAAAATCCTTTCCCACACTGCTGTGCAAGGTGGGCCACCTGTGTGGCAGATGTGGCCTTCTGGCCCTCAGGTGGCAGGAGTGGAGCCCATGCCAGGAACCAGAAAACCAACCCAGGGGGCAGGGCCAAAGGAGGGGTCTGCTATGAGCTGAGGTTGGACACACAGACAGGCCACACACAGCCCAAGCCAAGCCAAAAGAGGAAGGCTGGAATAGGGAGAATACCTGCAGAACTTACACACTTCTAACTTGAGTTCCTGCAAATTAATAAGCAAAAGATATAAAATCCAACAGAAAATTGTGTAAAAATTATATATTAGCAATGAACAGAAAAGGATTATAAAAGTGGCCAAAAAATCCATACAAAGATACTGAACCTTATTAGTAGGAGAAAATTCAAATTAGAACAACAATGAGAAAACATTTCTATCCAAGAGATTGGAAAATATTATAGAGTCCTAGCATTTATTGTTTGGGAGACAGTGGGTGGAAGAGGTGCCCTTATCACTGCTTGTTGGAATTGGCATTGATGCCACCTAATTTGAATATAATTTCTTAGTATATATTAAAATAAAATATCACTCAACCCAACAATACCATTGTTGGGTATATACCCAAAGGGATATACATCATTCAATTGTAAAGGCACATGCATGAGTATGTTCATTGCAGCACTATTCACAATAGCAAAGACATGGAATCAGCTGAAATGCCCAGCAATGCAGGAACACAGATGAAGCTGGAGGCCATTATCCTTGACAAACTAACACAGAAACAGAAAACCAAATACCACGTTCTCACTTATAAGTGGAAGCTACATAATGAGCATACACGAACACATGGAATGGAACAACACACACTGGAGACTGATTTAACTTAGAAGTTAAATCAAAAGGTAAATTAAAAAAAAATGTGGCCATACTGATTGGTGTAGGAATCTCACTCCGAGAATTTATCTCACAATTTTTTTTTTTTTTATAAAAAGGCCAGGTGTGGTGGTTTTCACCTATAATCCCAGCACTTCCAGAGGCCAAGGCAAGCAGATTGCTTGAGCTCATGAGTTCAATACCAGCCTGCACAACACGACAAAAACCCATCTCTAAAAAAAACACAGGAATTGGCTGGGCAAGGTGACTCATACCTGTAATTCCAGCACTTTGGGAGGCTGAGGTGGGCGCATCACTTGAGGTCGGGAGTTCAAGACCAGGCTGGCCAACATGATGAAACTCCATCTCTACTAAAAATATAAAATTAGCCAGACATGGTGGGCTAACTGTGGTCCTAGCTACTTGAGAGGCTGAGGCATGAGAATCACTTCAACCCAGGAGGTGGAGTTTGCAGTGAGCTGAGATCACTATGCTACAGCCTTGGTGAGAGTGAGACTCTGTCTCAAAAAAAAACCTCAGAAATTACCAAGGGGTTTTGGTGCCTGCCTGTAGGCCCAGCTACTTAGGAGGCTGATATGGGAGGATCGCCTGAGCTCAGGAGGTGGAGGCTGCAGTGAGCTGTGATTACACCACTGTGCACTCCCGCTTGGGTGACAGAATCAGGCCCTGTCTTTCTCCATACACAAATGTTTAGTGACATATTTTAGTGGTAGAAACAACCTGGAAGCAGTCTATCAGCAGATGATCGCCTACACAACCTAAAGCCTGCTCATCTTTAAGACAGACATACAGCAAGAAGATAGTGACACGTGTGCTTAAGATGACTGCCAGGATGCTTTCAGGCTCATGCATGACAGACCCTGATGGCAAGCCAAGCAGCAGCTCCCACTGCACAGTACTTATTGGGATCCATGCTATGCTTCAATACTAAGTCGCTCCTGCCCAATTTGGAGGGGCATGGGCTCCACAGAGGCACTGGTCCTGACCACACCTGTGTTACCTGCCTGGACCCTATAGTCACTTCAGCATGACCCCTGGCAGACGGCATGCCAGATGTTTGTAAAATCAAGCCACCAATGATGCTTTCAATGTATATGTTTGTTTCTGTAGACTTGTGTGATTATGGGGAAAGACACAATAGGAATGGGGAACAGAGATGGTAGACATTCCTCTTCTACCGTTTTTTCCTCTGGTTTTGGTAGGCACATTTTATATTTGTAATTTGTGAAATTTTAGTAAAAGAACTGTAGTACAAAATAAGTTAAATAGAAGGATTTATTTAAAAGGTTGAATACACAAGAAAAAAACCTTTGACGAAAAACATTCTCTTTGTTTCACTTAGACATTTTCTCTTACAGATGAGTGAAAACCAGCTAAGCAAAGCCTACTTAATAAAATACAAAATCCAATTTGTAATATACATTTTATAAAACTCTGAAAAGATGGGAACCACCTTAACTTAAACATCTGTGAGAAACTTACAGCAAACATCTTAATGGTGAAACACTGAGCATATTCCCATTGAAGCCAGGAGGAAGCCAAGGATGCTGCCATCAAATTACTGATTCCTTATTTAGGATTTCCAGTGAGTCATGCATTGTCTTTGTTTCTGTTAACCCCCCGACACCTTTTGATTCATCAAATGTTCTTTGATCCTCTTTATCCTCAATCCATTTGAAATTTTACATTCTATTCCAATTCATTTAGTGATTCCCAATGGGTATCTATATTGAGATTTAAAAATGTGTCAGAGTCTAGAATTTCATTGCTGTCTTATATTCAGCCACTATATTAACTCCAGGAACTAGACAAGAACTTCAGTAACTTCTAGCTCCTTTTTAATTTCCTTATATCCCACATGTCTATGTCAAAGTCTTCTGGAATTTTAATTCTAGGTAACCCATCTTTCTTTCAGAATCATACTTAATGCAGTTCACTAATTTCCTTGCTTACTGATTCTTCTTGCATCCCACTTCTCCCAGGTGTAATGTCTGGTTTGGCTTTTTTCTAGAAGAAAAATATGACTTGTATTTCCACTGTAGATAACAGCTCCATTCAAATCACCTTGTACAGAAAGGTTTAGCTGCTTGCACATTGTAAGTTGGGGGGAAGCTCAGGCTTTAGGTCCAGTCTGAGTAGGATTCTAGCTTTTTCTGTAGGCCATTTCTCCCTTCATGTGGCCTTGCCCTCGAGCTGACACTGCCTGCCTCCTCCTCTCCCTAAACATTTCTTTGATTGCTCATAGAACTCTAGATTCATAGTTATTCCCTCTCAAAGCACCATTGCTTTCCATAGTCATCCATGCTTCCAGGCAAAGTCTAATGTCACCATAATTCTGCTTTCCTTGTAGGTCTCAGCTCTCAGATTTCTTCTGTTTAGAGAAATCATTAGCCATGATTTCCTTGTATTTTGCTGTCATACAAATGTTCTGGCTCTTGCAGGAAAGCTCCATGTTAGATGACCTCCCATCCTCAGGATGACTGTTCTGTTGCACTGTCCATCTCTCTTTTGCCCAAACGTCTAGTTTTTACTGATTTCTCAGTCCTATCTATTCTGTGATTCAACAAACCATCAACATAACTTTGGATCCAACAACTTTGTATCTCTAATTGTTTTTTTTGTTTTGTTTTGTTTTGTTTGAGATGGAGTGCAGTGGTGCAATATTGGCTCACTGCAATCTCCACCTTTCAGGTTCAAGCAATTCTCCCGGGTAGCTGGGACTACAGGTGCATACCACCACGCCCAGCTAATTTTTTGTATTTTTAGTAGAGACTGGGTTTCACCATGTTGACCAGGATGGTCTGGATCTCCTGACCTCGTGATCCACCCGCCTCAGCCTCCCAAAGAGCTTGGATTACAGGTGTGAGCCACTGCGCCCAGCCAGTTGGCTTTTAATGTAAGCACAATGAGAAGACTAGGGGAGCTGCTGGTTTATTTTAACAAGCATTTAGGAGCTCCATGCATGTGTGACTTTGACAGAAGGTACAAAGCAGAGACAAGAGGGGCATTGAAAGCAGATGGACTACTGTCAGGATCCTGGGAGGAAGGCCTGGAGGCTCGGTCCTGACAACACAAGGTGGGGGCTCCGGTTGGTATGGGAGGGAAGGAGTGGAACAGAAATGGGGCTGGAGGGAAAGTCCGGGTGGAAGAAAGGGAGGCTGGCAACAACATGGGTGACAGAGGTCAGTGTGTAACATGGCCGATGAACACTGGGACCCCATGCACGTAGGTGCCCATGGAGGAGTGTGTGACTCCTAAAACAGATGAGTCACCCAGAGGCATAAACCCAATGAAGGGATAGACGGCAACAGCCTGAGGCCCAGAGAAAGGGGGCAGCTCCTGAGGCCCCACCACAGGCAGGGCTTCGGGTGGGACAGGGCCTTCCTGCACAGTTCCACGCACAGCCCCTCTGCCACGGCCTCGCCCTGCCCGTTGGCTTCCTCCCCAGCGCCGGCCTCTCTCTGCAGGACGAGCCGGCTGGGTGCGAGCTGGGGGCTTCCATCTGAAGGGCTTCACATAAGCAGTGGGTTTTGTGGGTTGGGTTGGCTCTGTGGGCCCATCTGCTTCTCCTGGGTCTTCATGGTCCACAACAGAGCGGCCTGGCTCTGTAGAAGGCCCACTTGAGGCTAAAAGAGAAGCAGAGTATTAGGAGAATGAGTAGGGTCTGAAGCCTTCGGGGAAGTGTGACTAGAAGAGGGGTTCAGGAAAGGCCCAGGGGAGCCTCGGCAAACAGAATGAGGGGCAGGGGAGACCTGCAAGGTAAGCCCTCAGGAGTTCTGCCTACCCGAGGGCCTATCCTGAGCTCAGCACTCCATGAGCTTTTCATCGCAAGTCCTTGCAACAACCTTACCCGTGCGATATTATGACTGTCATTTTACTAATCAATAAATGAGTCTACAGTTCCCTAGAGAGATTGAATATGAATAAAAGTGGGATGCTGCCTGCCCTCACTGAGGTTAAACTTCAGTAGGAGAGACAAACAGAACACCAAAAAATGAACGATGCTAATGAGCAACCAATTGGGAGGTGAAGGGTATCACAAGGGAGGTGGCTCTGGATCCAGAATGCCCAGGCTGTATTCCCAGGCCGCTTAATGTACCTGGGCATCAATTCCCCTTTCAACTGGTATAATAACATGCCAACCCCTAGGTCTTTACAAGAACTGAGTTACTATAAGTCAAATGTTTAGATTAGTATCTAGTTCAAGCAAGCATCTTAACATTTATTGGGAAGGAGATGGTCAAAAAGTCTTGCTGGAGGAGTAAACATAACCTAGGAAATCAAAGATGGGTGGGGTTTTGCAAGGCAAAGGCAGGAGAGGATTAGTAGGGATAGCAGGGAGGGGGGGCATTCCAGGTGACAGAAGGGTATGGGGTGGCTGCATGACTTCCAGGAGGAAAGAAGCCTTCCATGGCTATAGGATAGCTTAACAGGGAGGGGAGGTGTTGACACAGATACATTACTGAGCAATAGAACAGAGCACGAAGCCCAGGACTAGACAAACTTCTATAGAAATTTTATCAATGACAGAGCAGGCATTGAAGATGATCAGAAGATTCTTCTCTGGGAAACCTGCATAGCTTAAGAGTCCCATAAAACTGACATCTGGCGTTGCATTTTTTTTTTTTTTTTTTTTCTGAGACAGAGTCACACTCTGTTGCCCAAGCTGGAGTACAGTGGCCAAATCTCAGCTCACTGCAATCTCGGCCTCCTGGGTTCAAGTGATTCTCCTGCCTCAGCCTCCCAAGTAGCTGAGATTACAGGCAGCCGCCTGTAGTTCTTTTGTATTTTTAGTAGAGACAGGGTTTCACCATGTTTAACAGGCTGGTTTCAAACTCGTGACCTCAAGTGATCTGCTTGAGTGCTGGGATTACAGGCATGAGCCACTGTGCCTGGCCTGGTATTGCCCAATTTGATGCCCCAAACATACGAATGCTGTGGAATCCAATCAACTAGCCCTATCCATGGGTTTGGAGCTCTCATCAGCTTCTTCCTAGGTCCCATTTTTTTTTTAGTCAGATATCACCAAATATCACACACACAAACAAAAAAGGCCCTAACACCAGAGACAGACGATAACACAGGAAAAGCCAACTTGGATAAAACAGTTTATGCCACAGATGAGACTTTCCAGAAACATCTATGATTAATACCCCCAGAGAGATAGAAAGAATTTTATCTACAAATCAATTATAGGATACTTTTAAAAAGAAATACCCAGAGAAAATAGGGCTTTTTGAAATTAAAATTATGAGAGAAGAAACAAAAATCTCCATGAAAATTTTAAAGAATGAAGTTGAGAAGATATCCCAGAAAAGAAAGCAAATATCTAAAATAAGGGAAAGAAAGGAGGATAAAATACAAGAAAATTAGAGGCATATTGTCACTGAGACATATCAACACAAAATTTCAGAGTGCTGATGACAAAAAGAAGATCCTAAAAGCTTCCAGAGAGAGGGAGAAAGAGAAAGGGTGGAAAGGTTATATGGAAAGGGCTAAAATTCAGGCATCTCAAAAGCAGCAATTAAATCTATTAGATAATAGAAAATGTCTTCAAAATTTCAAGAGAAATGGACTTCCCACCTAAAATTTGATACCCAACCAAAGTTTCACTTAGAAGTCAGTCAGGGAGGGTAGAATGAAAATGTTTCAAACAAGCAAGATTTTTTTTTTTTTTGAGATGGAGTCTCACTCTGTCACCTAGGCTGGAGTGCAGTGGTGTTATCATGGCTCACTGCGACCTCTGTCACCTGGGTTCAAGAGATTCTCCTGCCTCAGTCTCCCAAGTTGCTGAGGTTACAGGCACCTGCCACCATGCCTGGCTAATTTTTGTAGTTTTAGTAGAGATGTAATTTCACCATCTTCGCCAGGCTGGTCTTGAGCTCCTGACCTCGTGATTTACCTGCCTCAGCCTCACAAAGTGCTGGGATTACAGGGGTGAGCCACCATGCCCTGTCCAGACAAGCAAGATCTTAAATAATTTTCTTTCAACGCATACTTTATTGTTATGCATCTATCAAACTAGACAAGATTAAAAGATGTAGTACACTCAGTGTATGAAAGGAAATGTTTTGGAGAACAATGTGGCAATAGCTGTAAAATTCCAATACCTCCAGAAAATAACAAGGTGGAAGTACGGGTTTATCATAGATCAAGATGTAGTTTGAGGGCTTGCTCCACTGTAAAGAAAAAGTAAAACAAGAAGAAGAAGAAGAAAAAAAAAAGACACAAGATTTGGGAAATGGTATACAATTAAAAAGAGGGAAAGGAGTTTCCCAGATGATGCGGAAGCTGGGAGCTGACTTAGAGCAGCCAGTCCAGGTTGGAGCAGGCTATGAGGTGAAATTGAGAGAACACTTGATTGAGTTGGAATTTAAACAATTGGGAAAGAATTGGCAAATTAACTAGTGATAAGTAACCACTCAGTATTCCAAGGTAGGTATTAAGTCCTGGAAAATTCAAGTTATGCAAGAAGGGGAAAGTAATTCTCCTACTATTCTCTCTGCTCCTGGGCAATGGGGGAGGGGCAGAGGGTGTGTGTCGGGGATGGGTGTGGCATGGCACTTGGGTGATTGGTGGTGGTGAGAATGTGTAAACTACAGCTAAATATTCTTCTACCCCAGAGGGAAGACCATAAGGAAACTCTAAATAGGAAAAGAAATAGTAGTGTTCACGTGTTACTTAAAGAATGAGAGGAAATGCTAAAAGAAATGGCTACACAGATGGAGGTGGTGTTCCCAAAGTTGTGGAAGATTGAGAAGCTGCTGCATTTCATAACATGCCACATTTGCATCTCTAAGTTCTGTACGTCAATACCAAAGGTAAAGTAAAAATCCAGAAAAAAATTAAAAAGAGAGCGGCAGGCATTTGACATACCTTGATTAGAGGCCATGGAGCGAAGTCGCTTTGAACACCTCGGTTCTTCCATAAGGAATCTGCAGGAGGGGGTGGAAAGAAAAACACATCAGCAGAGTTAAACCACAGACTCATTTCCCAAGCACCACGCAACGATGCGGACCCCCACCAAACGCTCTCCTCTAGTGCCTTCACTGTCCCCAGGCCTCAGAGCACTTGGCTGCCTGGGCACCGAACCCACGAGGCCACCCAAGAGGACAGTGTGAAGGTGGGGGTTGGGACGGGGGCTGTGCTTGTGGGAGACTTCCACACCGTAAAGGGTTTCCAAGGGGAAGCCAGTAGCTAGCATAGACTGGCCTAGAGGCAGTTTATTTAATTTATCCCAGTTTCTACAAGCAAAGCTGGGAGAGGGGAGACTAACTTAGGCCTCCTGGAGGAATGATCCCTCTTTAGGAGAAGAGGGAAGGAAGGTGGGGACAGACAATGGAGTTAGGAAGAGAGGGGTGACAAGGGACGTGGCCATGGCCCTTCTGGGGGAATGAGAATTCTGTCCCCATCTGCATCCATGCAAGCTCTACCCACTCCCCAGGAACACACAGACACACACCTGATCTCCCTGCTGCTGGCTCTGGAGATCTGAAAATTAGGAGGCCCTTCTACGAAGAAAGGCCGAGGAGCTGGAGGTGTCCGCGGATTCACGGCTGTAGCTCTGAGGTCGTCGTACCCCAACCAGGCAGGCAGGAGGGAGCTTGCTGCAGGTCCTGGCTCGGAGCTCAGCAGAAAGCCGACTGCTCGAGGCCCTGAGCCGACCATCTTATAAGGCACCAAGGTGCTTACGTAAGGGGAGTGGTCACAGGGGGGCCCGGCTGGGGCTGGGCTAAATGAGCTTGGAAGGCCATTGGGCCAGTCCTCCCCCTGTGCCTCCCTAACCCCGCGCCCGGTCAAATGAGGCCCTGCCAAGAGGCCGCCATTCATATATGTCAATGGTTGATTGATTAATGTAATCATTGAGAAAAAAAGAAAAAAAGCATAATTACATTTAAGTGCCAACAAAAGGGATGTGTGGTGGTGCCCTGAGAGTGGCAAATACGAAGATTTGATTAGACTTGATCTGACTGTGGTCTAGGAAAGCATCCAGAGGGGGATATTTGGGCTGAAATCTGGACTTTAAAATTTGAAATTGGTCAATGTGAACCGGGTTGGGAGAGGCAGGGAGAGAGGCAGGCGACTGAAGAACGTGTGCTGAGGCCCAGACTGGAAGGGAGCCTGACCCGTTCCGGGAATGGAGGAGAGGCCAGGGCCAGGCCCAGAGGTGGTGCAAGGGGAGGAGAGGGGGCACACAGGAGCTGGTCTTGTTCCAAGGCAGCGAGAAACCATGGAACCGTGTCCTGCAGTGGGTTAACATTTCAAAAACGGCTAGCCTGGCTGTGAAGGAGAGCAAACCCAGGGTTTTCAGATTAACTCAGGAACAGCAAGAAGGCTATTACAGCCCTTGGTGTTGGGTGCAGGGTCCTATTAGGCTAGGACTGTGGGCAGCAGAGGAGGAGAAAGTTCCTCGGTGGGAGAGAAATTTACAAGAGAAAGAGCCCCAGTGTGGACAGCCCTTGGAGGGAAGGAGACTGCAGCCTTGGTAGCCGGTTCATTCAGACAGAATGAACCTGGATGGGGAACCTGCTCTGAATGGGAAGATGTGGAGCTTGGCTTGCATACGTTCGGTTGGAGGAGGTTTTGAGCTGCCAAGTGAGAATGTCAAGTGGCCTTTTGTAAAAAGAGACGAGCTTAGAGAGGTGGCGATGGGGCTGGAGACACGTGTGAGACACACACCACTAGCTTTTATTGCTGTGGGTGCAATAAAAGTTATGTGTTGTTTCCTGCTCTCTTCCTCGGCCTATGGGTGCACACATAGGACGAGGAAGAGAGCAGGAAACAACACACAACGACACTAGAGGGGAACCCACAGTGGGTTGGTTGGTTTGCTTTTTTATTTTTTAGAGAGATGGGTTCTCACTCTTTACAGTAGTGAGATCTTGGATCACTGCAGCCTCGACCTACTGGGATCAAGCGATTCTCCTGTCTCAGCCTCCCGAGTAGCTAGACTAGGGACGCACGCTCCCACACCAGGCTAATTTTTGTATTTTTTTGTAGAGGTGGGGTTTCGCTATGTGAACAGGCTTGTTTGGAACTCCTGAGCTCAAATGATTCTTTCTTCTCAACCTCTCGAGTAGCTGGGACCACAGGCGCAAGCCCCCATGCCCAAGTAATTATTATTGCTTTTGTTTTAATTCTTTGTCGAGATTAGATTTTGCGACGTTGCCCGGGCTAATCTCAAACTCCTGGCCTCAAGCAATCCTCCCACCTTGGCCCAAATCACTGGGATTACAAGCATAAGCTACCACACCCTACTCTCACAGTGCTGTTTAAAAAATTCTGGCCAACCACTGTGGCTCATGCCTATAATCCCAGAACTTTGGGAGATGAAGGTGAGAGAATTACTTGAGCACAGCAGTTTGAGAACAGCCTGGGGCTACGTGGCAAGACCCCATCTCTATACAAAAAAAAAAAAAAAAAAAAATTACCCTTGTGTGGTTTTGCCTGCCTGTGGTCCCATCCTCTAGGAAAGGTGAGCAGGGAGGATTGTTTGAGCCCGGGAGATCAAGACTGCAGTGAACTGAGATTGCACCACTGCATTCCAGTCTGGGACACAGAGTGAAACCTTGTCTCAAAACAAAAAACAAAACAAAACAAAACAAATCTAAAAATGAGGTACAAATAATGCAATTCCAGTTAGATTGTCAGTATTTTTTTTTGTTATTGTTATTTTAAAAAGTCAACTTTATTAAGGTACAATTTACACACAGTAAAATGCTTTCATTTGAAGTACACAATTTGGTGAGTTTTGACAAACATGTAGGCTTGGGTAACCACCTCCACAGTTAAAATAAGAATAATTTCATCACTGGGACAGTTCCCTTGTGTCCCTTTACAGTCAACCCCCTCCCCGAATCCTCTGCCCCAGGCAACCATTAATCCACTTCTTATCTCTACAGGTTATTTTTGCCTGTTCTAGAATTTCACAAAAAGGAAAGCATACTGTATGTCCTCTTTTTTGCCACATTTATCTTGCTTGGCTTAATTTTGTTAAGGTCCATCTATGTTATAGAATGCATGAGCCATTCATTCATTTTCATTCCTGGGTGGTGTCCCATTCCTCAAATAGACCAGGGTTTATTTATCCAGTCACTCGCTCACAGACACTGATTAGGTTGTTTACTGTTTGGGGGTATTACGAATAAAACTGCTAAGAACACTCATGAACAAGACTTTGGATACACATATGCTTTCATTTTGCTTGGATAAACATCTACAAATGAAAAATCTGGGTCAAATGTCAAGAGTTATTTTTAGATTTATAAAATATTATCAAATTGCTTTCCAAATTGATTCCACAATCAATTTTACATTCCTTCCCAAAGTGTTTGAGGGTTTTGGGTGCTCCACATTCCCTGCCAACGCTTGGTGTTGTTGATCCTTATTCTCTAAGCCACTCTAGTGTCTGTTGGAGTGGTGTCTCATTGTGGTTCTAACTTGCCTTCCCTTGCTGACTAATGATGTGCTTATTAGAGTTTTAAAAATAAGTGTTTTTATTTTAGAATAGTTTTAGACTCACAGAAAAGTTGGAAAAAATACAGAGTTCTTATATGTCCCACACCAAATTTACCCTGTTTCTAGCATCTTACAGTGTAGTACATTTGTTATTATTATGGCAATAATAATTATTGGTACATTAATATAATACATTGTTATTAACTAAAGTTTATGTTTTGTTCCGATTTCCTTGGTTTTGACCTAACATACCTTTCTGTCCCAAGACCCCGTCCAGGGTACCACATTACAATTAGTCATGGCTCCTCTTGGATGAGAGAGTTTCTCAGGCTTGCCTTGTTTTTGATGACTTTGACACTTTGAATACTGGTCAGATATATTGTAGGATGCCCTCTCCTGAAATTTGTCTGGTGTGTTCCTAATGATCTGACTGGAATGATACATTTTTGTAAGAAAGATTGCAGAGGAAAAGTGCCATTGTCATCCCATCCTGTCTACAGTCTATCACCATGGCTTATCACTGCTGGTATTAATCCTGGTCACCTGGCTGGGGCAGTGCTGGTTAGATTTCTCAGCCATAAAGTGATCTTCCCCACTCTTTCCCTACTGTACTTTTTGGAAGTCACTATCTATAGCCTACACTTTTAAAAAGGGAAGTTATGCTTTATCTCCTTGCAGGGGAATAGCTACCTAATTTGGAGTTCCCCTGTGTGGAGGATTTGCCTATTCTTCCCCATGTGTTTATTTATTTAAGCATTTATTTCTATTGGCATGGACTCATGGATATCTATTGTATACTTTAGATTATGAATCAATACTTCCTCGGATGAATTATTGAATAATTTTGCTAATTATTTTGTTAAATATTTTACTTAAATATTTAATTATTAATTAGTGAATTATTTTGTCACTCAAAGTTTCTAGCTTTGGCCATTGGGAGCTCATTTAGTTGGCTTCTGGGTCTTTTTGTCACCCTCCATCACTGTGGCTTTTGGTTTGGTTTGGTTTGGGGCCCCTTCTTGCTCCCTGGCACCACAGATGTTCCATGCTCATTTGCATAATTTCATTCTTATTGGGGTTTCATGTGCTCACCAACCACACCCATAAATACTTTTGTGAGATTTCTGTTCAAAACCTTTATTTTTTTTACTGGGTTGACTTTTTTCTTTTCTTTTCTTTTTTTTTTTTGAGATGAAGTTTTGCTCTTTTCACCCAGGCTGGAGTGCAATAGCACAATCTCCAGTTACTGCAACCTCTGCCTCCTGGGTTCAAGCAATTCTCCTGCCTCAGCCTCCTGAGTAGCTGGGACTACAAAGCACCCACCACCACGCTGGGCTAATTTTTGTATTTTTATTAGATACAGGGTTTTGCCGGGTTGGCCAGGGTGGTCTCCAACTCCTGACCTCAGGTGATCGGCCCGCCTGGGTCTTCCAAAGTGCTGAGATTACAGGCATGAGCCACTGTGCCCAC